AATCAAATAAAGATGAAAATATAGATCATTTTATGTTAAGGAATAAAATTTCACATCAAATAAAGATGAAAATATAGACCAACTTATAAGGACTTGGGTTTCATCCTAAAATGTTAAGATATCTACTGATTTTGCCAACAATCAGTTAAGCAAATCAAGATCTCTTAAATTCCTTCAATCTCTGTAGTTTGTTACATGTAAAAGCTATATATATGTTGTTACGCCTCGATACCGAAGTGCCATCTCACCACCTACTCCGACCTGAAAACGACCCTCCTGAAACTTCTCCGAAGTGATATGTCGATTCCTACTACTGATCTGCCGAAGCATCTCACCTCCGAGGTCGAGATCAAGTGGACCCCGGTTAGAAGATCCGCCGCCAATTTAAGATTTGTCCTGCACCTAAGGTTTAAATTGATTTGACGTCCCCATGAGGCTACTTGATGTGACTTATCAACTTTATGTCAATTCAACTCGGGGGAAACAAACTGTCCGCCCACTCTACAAGCGCGGCTAATTGACGCCTATGAGCAGACACTTCATACCGTCAGATATATACACGCGTTCCACATCCCGTGGTTCATACCACCTATAAATACCCAAGGCTTGGCAAAAGGTAAAGGTAATGAAACTCTCAATACATAGCATTCCATAACAAGTTTATATATCATCCTCCCCCCTTTATTGATTGATTTGTGTAGCCCTTGGGCACTGTTCCGACCACCCAAATCTGACTTGACCGTCGGAGTGTATACGGCCGCCACCACCCCCATCGGTCCTGGCCGTGTGCCCCTGACCGTTTGTTCATTACGTAGGGAGGAATACGTGGAGTAGCTATAAGTTGGCCACGTGGAGGAGCCATTTTTGGAGGTCAACAGTTTGGCACCGTCTGTGGGAAACTCACTCCCCATTTGAAGTTTTGCGTTCCCCATCAGAGAAGACACTGAAAAATCGGCGACTGACCCTGAAAAAGGGGCTTCTTGAAAAAGAAAGTCGAATTACAATCCAAGTTCTTACTAGGTAGGATGAGCTACAGCCGTGAAGACGATCCCATGAGAGAGGCCTCTGAAGAAGAGGTACTCCATAACGATGTTACTCATCAGAGACTGCATCACCAGCGTCGACGAGGTGAAAGAACAGCCATACTCACTGAAGGTATGGCCCAAATAGCTGCGGGTATGAGAGACATAGCAGCTCAGAATATGGCGATGCGGGAACTTCTCATGCAAGCTCAGGGACACCAGAGGCCCCAAGGATCTTATCCGGTACAGGAAATCCCTTTGTCCCACTCTCAAGGCCACAGGAGCCAGCACACAGAACGTCCTCTCGAAAGAGAGGGGAACACCAAAGCGACATCTTATGCGCAGGAGAGTCATCCATCAGAACCACTCTTTGGGGACAACTTTCCTCAAGAACACGATGACCAGAGGTCAGTGAGCGTCTTCGACCGGATAGGGAATGATCCTAGCACTAGGGTCCGCTCCACAAGAGGGTCGGTCCGGTCAGACCGTGAAGAAGAGCATGTTCCTCCTCCTCCTAGAAATAGGAGGGAGAGGAGAAACTTAGTCAATTGGGGGAGCCGGGGAGAAGCACCTCCTCCACCCCAAGACATTCAAGATGATGAAAGATCAGAGGGGCCCTGTCGATCTTATGAGATTGACGACGATGACGATAACCTCCCTTTCTCAAGGGAAATTCGAAGCTTCCCAATGCCAACTAACTTCATGCCCTCTAAGATCCCCAAGTATGAGGGAAAAGGGGATCCGGAGAAGCACCTCACAAAGTATATGACACAAATGAGTCTTAGGAGAGCCTCACCTGCTCTAAAGTGCAGAGCTTTCCATTTAACACTAGGCGGAGCCGCCGAGGTGTGGTATAGGAGGCTTCCTCCCCTAAGCATCAGAAGTTGGCCAGACTTGAAGAAAGCATTTTTGAACCAGTACCTCTCACGCAGGGAAAGAGAGGTGCCAATTCAACGCCTGCAAGATATGAGGCAGGCCCCTGGAGAGATGCTGAAAAGCTATCTCGCCAGATTTACAGACGAAATTACTTACTGCGAGCAGGTCACTGACAGGGAAGCCCTTTCAGCCCTGAAAGGTGGTCTCAACATGAACACTTTGTTTTGGAGGGACGTGCGCAGCAAAAATCCCTCCACATACGACGAGCTGGTGGAGATGATGAGAGTGGAAATTGTTAGTGAAGAAATGATTGATCATCACAACCGTGCCGCGCAGGGACTCTCTCCCCCACAGAGGCAGGTAGGTCGAGGCCCCGCAGCGCACCTTGTTACTCAGCAATGGACCCAAGCAGGGCATACCATAGCTCCCACATCCAGACAGGCCCTAGCTTCCGCCACATTGAACGCAGTGCCGGTGTTGGCATATGATAATGCACCCGCTGAGGCAGGACCATCTGGAAGAATTGACAACAACAAGAAGAAAAAGAGGCCAAACAAGCCCTTGGCAGGAGCAAGATTTTGTACTTTCCATCAACTATACAGACATGACACCAGCGAGTGTCGTGATGCCAATCAGCGCCCTGATCGAAACAACCCTCACACTTCCAGCAGAAACGAGCATGCCCGCAGATCCACCTCTCCGAGGAGTGGAGGAAGAGGTCACCAGGAACAATCTCTTCGCAGAAGAAAATCGAGAAATCGAGGCCAATCCAAGCAAGGGAACCAAGCCCAATTCACTGGAGGTCAGGTCATCAGGGAAATCGATACCATCATTGGGGGACCCTACGTCGGTGGCAACACCAGAAATGCCCAGAGAAATTATACAAGAGAAGCTAAGGATCCCCCGATGATCACCTACATTGTCGACGAATCGAAATCAGCAGACAAGATGGCCCCAATCACCTTCTCCCAGGAAGATTTAGAGGGAGTTCACCATCTCCATTGCGACGCTTTGGTTATAAGAGCCGTGGTGGCTAGAAACGGATTAAAACGCATGCTCGTTGACAATGGCAGTTCCGTGAACATATTGTTCGGCTCTACTTTTGACAAAATGCAAATTGAACATGGGTTAATCCCATGACCGACCCACTGTTCGGATTCACTAGGGACGGCATCATCCCACGAGGGCGGATCACCCTGCCTGTGGAAATGGGTTCGGCCCCCTGGTCGCCCAGCATTTCATGGAATTTCTGGTGGTAGATCATAGGTCGGCTTATCATGGAGTATTGGGTAGACCCGCTCTAAAAGATCTTTGGGCTGTGACGTCCATTCACTATCTGTGCATGAAATTCCCAGCTGAACATGGGATTGCAACAGTCCGGGGCGATCAGATGGGCTCCAGGGCATGCTACCTAAACTCGCTGCGTAAATCTGAGCCCCGAACTGTCAATGTAATCCTAGCCGAAGTACCCGATGAAGCCGGTACGGACGTGGAAATGCTCGACGCCCCTGAACAAGGGCATACCTCTGAACAAGAGGAAGATGCCGTCATGGAAGAGGCCCCTGAACAAGGACACCCTCTTGATGAGTTAGACCCCCAAATAATCAATTATGAACCAAATGCGACCCCCATGAAAGAACTGGAAACTTTCCCAGTCAATCCGGAAGACCCCAATCAAGTCTTGCGCATAGGAAAGTCATTATCGCCTGAAGCAAAAATGGAGATGATACGATTCCTGAAAGAAAACCTGGATGTCTTCGCATGGAAGCATGAAGATATGGTGGGAATAGATCCTAGGATCAGTTGCCATCACCTTAACATCAACCCCTCCTATGCCCCCCATAGACAGAAGAGGCGTGCCCTGAACCCGGAACGGTATGAGGCGCTGAAAGATGAAGTAAATAAACTCAGCCGCAGTGGTTTCATCAGAGAGGCCATATATCCGAGGTGGATATCTAACCCGGTTCTGGTGAAAAAGTCCAGCGGGAAGTGAAGGGTCTGTGTGGACTTCACAAACCTGAATAAGGCGTGTCCCAATGACAGCTTCCCACTGCCAAGAATTGATCAACTGGTGGACTCCACTGCTGGGCATGAACTACTGAGTTTCATGGATGCGTACTCAGGATATAACCAGATACCCATGTTCCGACCTGACGAGGAAGCTACATCATTCATTACGGACAGGGGGCTGTATTGCTACAAAGTTATGCCCTTCGGATTGAAAAATGCCGGGGCCACATACCAGAGGTTAGTTAACATGATGTTTGCCGATCTCATTGGCAAAACCATGGACGTCTACGTGGACGACATGTTGGTCAAAAGCCTCCATGCGGCCGAACACGTGAGTCACATTGACCAAACCTTCCAGATACTCAGAAAGTATAACATGAAGCTGAACCCCCTCAAATGTACTTTCGGAGTAGCATCAGGCCAGTTCTTGGGATACATTGTAAATCAGAGAAGAATTGAGGCAAATCCGACAAAGGTAGCGGCCTTACTAGAAATGAGGTCACCTGAAAAACCGAAGGAGGTCCAAAGTCTCAATGGCCGAATAGCCGCACTCAGCCGCTTCATCTCCAGAGCCACCGATAAAAGCTTACCTTTCTTCAATGTATTGAAGTAAGGAAAGAGATTCCAATGGACTTCGGAGTGCCAAGAAGCCTTCGAGTCTCTAAAGAAACACCTCGGGGAAGCACCCCTCCTGTCGAAACCCCAGCCGGATGAATCTCTGTTGCTGTATCTAGCAGTTTCAGACGTGGCAGTCAGCGCGGTCCTAACCAGGGAAGAAAATGAGCGTCAATTGCCGATGTATTACATCAGCAAAGCACTTCTCCCAGCTGAAACATGCTACTCCGACATGGAAAAACTGGCACTCGCACTTATCACAGCCTTAAGAAATCTGAGGCCATACTTCCAAGCCCACTCAATACAAGTCCTCACCAATTTCCCTTTAAGACAAGTGATGTAGAAAACGGACGCGTCGGGACGCCTGCTGAAATGGGCTATTGAGCTCAGTGAGTTCGATTCACGTTCCGACCTAGACGCGCTATCAAGGGCCAGGCCCTTGCCGATTTTATGGTCGAGTTTACCAAAGCCCCAGAAATGGAGGCCCTAATGGAACCGACCGAGCCCCCCACATGGAAGTTGTTTGTAGATGGGTCTTCAGGAGAGGCTGGCACGGGGACAGGAATCGTGTTGGAAAGCCCAGAAGGCCATTTTCTAAATTGTGCTGTGAGATTCGGCTTTAGAGCCTCGAACAACGCAGTCGAATATGAGGCCCTTCTGGCAGGTCTAAGGCTCGCTAAGGAAATGCAGGTCAGGAAGCTCCTAGCAAGCAGCGATTCTCAGCTCATAGTAAATCAGGTAAATGGGGATTTCGCAGCCAAAGATGGTAACATGCTCGCATACTTGAAGCTGGTTTTGGACATAATTCCCCATTTCGAAAGGTTCGAACTGACTCAAGTCCCCCGCCTAGAAAATTCCCATGCAGATGCCCTCTCAAAGTTAGCCAGCAGCATGGACTCAGAGCTTCTAAGCATCGTCCCCATTGAGCACTTATCGAGGCCCTCCACCTTCGAAGGCGAAGAGTTACCGTGGATAGAAGGCACCCCCTTGTGGATGCAGCCCATAATCACGTATCTGAAGGAGCAAACACTGCCTGCTTCCAGAGGCGAGGTAAGAAAATTTAGAAGAAGGGCTGCACACTTCGTCCTTCAAGAAGACATCCTTTACAAGAGAGGTTTCGCTTCGCCCCTTCTTCGATGTGTGGACGGCAAGAGGCCACATACATACTCAGAGAGATACATGAAGGGATCTGCGGAAATCACTCCGGAGGGACGGCTCTGGCACACAAGGTTATCCATCAAGGCTACTTCTGGCCAACCCTGAAAAGGGACGCTTGCCAATTTGTCCAAAAATGTGACAAGTGCCAGCGCTTCTCTAACGTGCAAAGACAGCCTGCTCAGAGCCTCTCTGTAGTGACCAGCCCTTGGCCATTCGCCAAGTGGGGCATCGACTTCATTGGTCCACTCCCAAAAGGAAGGGGAAGCTCAACTTTCGCCATTGTCGCCATCGACTACTTCACTAAGTGGGTCGAGGCAGAACCCCTTGCCCGAATCACCGAGGCCAATACTACGAAGTTCGTTTGGAAAAACGTCATTTGCAGATTCGGCATCCCCCACTCCATTGTCTCTGATAATGGGCGGCAGTTCGACAACAGGAAGATGCGAGACTTATGCGACGAACTGGGCATAAAGAAGGACTTCTCGACTCCGCATCACCCCCAGGCAAATGGACAGGTTGAAGCAGTGAACAAAACTATCAAGCACACCCTGAAAAGGAAACTGGATGCCTCGAAAGGCACCTGGGTTGACGAACTCCCCCACGTCCTCTGGGCCATCAGAACGACTTGCCGGACTGCAACCGGCGAGACCCCATTTTCCATGACCTACGGAGCCGAAGCAATGAGTCCGGTCCAAGTTGGGGTCCCATCACATCGACGGATACATTTCAATGAGATCAGCAACGATGAGGCGCGCATAAGTGAACTACACCTCCTTGAGGAAAAGAGAGACGCTTCCCAAATGACCTTGGCAAAATATCATCGCAAGATGACCCACTTTTACAACTCCAAGGTCAGAAACAGAACTCTCCGCTTGGGCGACCTCGTCCTCAAAAGAGTTTTTCAATCTTCAAAACCAACCGGGTCAGGAGTTTTTGGCCCGAACTGGGAATGCCCTTACCGCATTCGGGGGAATCCCGACCTGGTACCTTCGAGGTCGAAGATAAGTCAGGAAGAATGCTACCTCACAAGTGGAACGTCGAGCACTTGAGAAAATACTACCAGTGATAAGACTGTTCCGATCTGATCCTAAGTTGTCATAGCTAATCGGTTGTTCCGATCTGACCTTGGTTGTAAAGTTTATTAAATGATGGAATCGCCTTTGTAAAGGGTGGTGTAATTTATCTTAGTAATGAATTTCCAGTTCCAAACCAGATCAGCTAGGTAATAGTTTCTTCAGTTCTTCGGAAGGTTCATTTGAGCGATCCGATCGTCAATTATTAGCTGATTACCAAGCGGTTCCTCGTGTTTCGCCAATTGGTCTGACCTCAGATTATTAAGAAGTTGAAGTGAGGAATCACTTCCTGCTCACTTAAGTGTTTGGACTTATGTTTGCTTAAGCGGACCGGTTCACAATTGTTAACTGATCGTTGTCACGAGGCAATTAGTCTAATGTTTGTCATTCATACAAGTATAAAACAAAAGGAATACAAAGAAGCAGAAGCCAAAAGACTTAACAGAAATTTAACAAAATTTTTCATTCCATTTTATAAAATTAAAGTACATTGGGGGCCGAAGCCATTACAAAATAAAAAGGAAACCCTAATCTGTGGGAGGAATTTCAGCACTGGCCGTCTCCTGGGCCTCTGGAGCCTCCTCAGTAACCTTATCAGGCCGACCTCCAGTGGGTCCCCCAAGCTCTGCCTCCAGTTGAGAGATGTCCAGGGTAGGATGCACCTCCTTCAGTCGACCTAGTAGGCTTTGGGCACTCCACGAGGCCCAGAAGTTGGCAAAGTCGTCGTAAAGGGGATGGTCTTCGAAGTGATCAATAAAATTCTGAACCGCCACCTCCCCCGCAGACTTTAATTCCTTCTTCAGAGAGGCAATCTCCACTGACTGGGCCTCTGTCTGTTGCTTCAGCTCCGCCTTTTCTCTGTTAGAGGCCTCCAGAGCATCGGTGGCGAGCTTATGGTGCTCGTTAGCGTGGTCAAGTCGCCGAGTCACCGCAGCCACTTGGCACTCCACTTCGTAGAGCTCTTTCTTCAGCCGCTCCACCTCTACCTGCGAAGTAGCAAGCTGGACCTCAGTAGCTCTCTTCCCCTCCTCTGCCTTGGTGGCTTTGGCCTGGGCAGCTCGCACAGCATCCCCATAATGCATCGCCTCCTCGAGGCGCTTGACGAGGTCCTCCCTCTTGGAGTTTAGATCCTTCACCAAGCCCTCGAGCTGGATGCTTGTGCTTAGTGCCCGGGCCACGCAGGTGCTGTTCGCCGCCACCAAGTCTTCGACCGTGCAGGAGGCGGTGTGGTCCCACCACTCTTCAGTACAATATTTGCTGTGGACCACCGCCACAGCAGCTGTCTCTGGAGGAAGAGCCTCCAACACCTCCCTTACGGGCTCCTCTTGATTGGTGCCCAGGAAATCAACCTCTTTGGTAGAGCGGGCCCTTTTTCTCCTCTGCTGCCCCGGAGCTTGTTCAATGGGTACAGCCGCAAGGGGCGCTGTGTCCGGGGCAGCGACAGGCTCTGCTGAAGCGGGGCTTCTCTCTGGGAGGGCCACCCCCGTGGGAATAGTTGTCTGCCTCAAAACTGGGGGTGGCCTCGCCACAGTTGGGCGTCTAGAAGGGGCAGCACTCTTCTTGCCCTTCCTTCGGAGGTCAGCCTCCGGATCCTCCTGAACCTCCTCCTCCGTCGGGGGCTGGAGCCTCTTACTGGCCTCCACCAGCTCCTCCATTTGCTTCTTATACGAAGAGAAGGAGGCCTTCAGCGCCCGTGCCTCGGCCTTCATTTTCTGGATGGTCTTGAAGTCGGGGCGTACGGGTAGCTTCTTGCTGAAGTTATCTGCAAAGAAACGAATAAGGAATTAGTACAAGTCTAGGGAGTTCGGAATAAAAAAGTATGGGCTTCGGTCCTATTACCTTGAGACGCCATTAAATCGTGAGTGATGAAATGGATGTTCTTACGGATCAGCCTGTGGTAGGACCTCTTCTTCTGAGGCAGCTGATAAATGACACAGATAGTGTCGAAGTCCTCTGTTGATAGCTCACACCGAGGAAGAGAACCTACGAAAGCAAACATAACTGTTAGACACAGGCCAAACCGAAGAGAAAATAAAAGGAGCAACAACTATACTCACTAAGTGTTGAAAACTTCGCCGGGACTGTAAGAGGCGCCAGGGTGTCCCCCTCCATTGTGTCCCATCGCCCAGCTGCCCAGCACCATGAGCTCTTCCATTCCTTGATGGAGCTCGACAGATCGATCACAAATGGAGTGTGGGAACCCCATGATGTTAGGTAGTACCAACCCCGGGTCTTATTCCCCCCCCCCCCCCGACAGTAACCTTGGGTATATAGAGGGTCTAGAAAACGGAAAGGGGCATCTCCACCCCTAATGATGCCTCTTTCCACAACATCCAGGAGCCCACCATCTGGCTCCAGGAGTTTGGATTGAGCTGTGTCGGGGCTAGACCGTAAGACCTAAGCACCAACCTAAAGAATGGGTGGATAGGCAGCCTAAGTCCGGCCCTAAGGATCGCCTCACTAATGGCCACACAGCCTGGCCTTGGGTAACAGGCTCTCTCTTCCGGCCCGGGGAGAATCAAGTCTATAATGTCTGGGATCCTATATTCTGTCCTAAGTCTACCCAGGTCGGCCTCCCTCAATTTTGATGGGTAGTCCGACGCCCCCCAATGCACAGAAGTATCTGGGGGACTATCTGGTCGCTTCCATATGTTCTCCCCCCCCATTATTGCCCCAACTATTTCTGAGGAGGTCGCCACAATGGGCTCATCCACCCTCACTATTTCTAAGCCCCTCCCCAAACCAGAACTCCCTTCCGAGGCCATTCGTTAAGAAATTTTTTACAGTCCAAATGGGTGCTGAAACTTATGGGTTTGGAAGTTTTTCCTAGCTGGGAATGATGCAGGATCGCCGGAGGTATCGTTCTCTCTCGTCGGAGTTGCTTGTAAAACGTCGAAAATCGCCGAAAATTTGAGAGCAAATTATGGTTTTAGTCTTGCGAAAGTAGAAAACTCTGAGAAAACCCCAGAGTCCTCCTTTTATAGGAAAAACAAGTCCAATCTCCACCGTTGAATTCAAATGCGATCAATCTAAGCCGTTTGTCGCATCCTCAATCCGGGCCGTTGAAATGAAACGCCAGATTTGATCTATGCCCAAGATGTCGCTGTGACCTTCACGCTAAATTGAAACGCGTCACCTCGATTACAACCATCCGTCAATAATAATTACTAGCCGCAGCAGCCTTTTAGGAGAATGGGCATGGCACCCAACTGTCACCTTGGAAACACGCAACAGTTGTCAAATCATTGGACGTTTGGGTCGCCTCAGATGAGCTCCTCCTCCAACTTTACAAAGCTTGGACGCACCTGACGCGAACGGCCCATTGGGTCGTCGCCTCGGACGCTACGTTTTCCTCCCATGCTTTACAAAGTTTCAGCCATCTCCCCAAGCGTCGACCTCTTCCTGTCAACACATCGGTGCGAGATGAGTTCCTCTAGACGCACCTGACGCGAACGGCCCATTGGGTCGTCGCCTCGTAAGCTGCATTTTCCTCCCATGCTTTAGAAAGTTTCAGCCATCTTCCCACGCGTCGACCTCTTCCTGTCAACGCATCGGTGCGAGATGAGTTCCTTCTCCAACTTTACAAAGCTTGGACGCACCTGACGCGAACGCCCCATTGGGTCATCGCCTCGGACGCTGCGTTTCCTCCCATGCTTTACAAAGTTTCAGCTATCCCCACGCGTCGACCTGTTCTGTCAGTGCATCGACGGCAGCTGAGCCCTTTCTCCAACTTCGCAAATCTGGGACGCGCCTGACGTGAATGCCCCGCATCTGCCTATTCTCCTAACCTCGGCTGCTGCGACGAATCGACCCCATGACTCGCGGCCCTGTCAGGAAAGCAAATCCGCGCATAATATAAATATTCACCCCCAGATTTGGGGGACCACTGTTACGCCTCGATACTGAAGTGCCATCTCACCACCTACTCCGACCTAAAAACGACCCTCCCGAAGCTTCTCCGAAGTGATATGTCGATTCCTACTACTGAACTGCTGAAGCATCTCACCTCCGAGGTCGAGATCAAGTGGACCCCGGTTAGAAGATCCGCCGCCAATTTAAGATTTGTCCTGCACCTAAGGTTTAAATTGATTTGACGTCCTCATGAGGCTACTTGATGTGACTTATCAACTTTATGTCAATTCAACTCGAGGGAAACAAACTGTCTGCCCACTCTACAAGCGCGGCTGATTGACGCCTATGAGCAGACACTTCATACCGTCAGATGTATACACGCGTTCCATATCCCGCGGTTCATACCACCTATAAATACCCAAGGCTTGGCAAGAGGCAAAGGTAATGAAACTCTCAATACATAGCATTCCATAACAAGTTTATATATCCTCCTCCCCCCCTTTATTGATTGATTTGTGTAGCTCTTGGGCACTGTTCCGACCACCCAAATCTGACTTGACCGTCGGAGTGTATACGGTCGCCACCACCCCCGTCGGTCCCGGCCGTGTGCGCCTGACCGTTTGTTCATTACGCAGGGAGGAATACGTGGAGTAGCTATAAGTTAGCCACGTGGAGGAGCCATTTTTGGAGGTCAACATATGTTATAAGTTTATTAATTCAAAAACTGTTTGATAATTCTGTAATCAGTTTTTTCTTCTTTCTCCGATGTCAAAAAACGAACAGACTAAGAAGAAATGAAAAGAAAATGTTGTATATTTTCTTATACGGCATTTGTTCGTAGATTATTTTGTTAATTTTGACATACAAGAATAGATTTATCTACTGACATGATATAAATTTATAAGTTCATGTACGATTTTGATACAAAGTTCAATTTTGCAGGATTTTTGATACAAGGATAAAGCTCACGTATGATTATGATAGAGAGAGAAAAGTTGATGTTCAATTCACGTAACTAGCTTGTCAAATTTTTTACATCTTTGCCACATGGATAATTCCATTCGTTATCACTAATGGGAATTAATTCATGTATGAATATAATACAAAATTGTGAATTCATGTATGATATAAAGTTGAATTAATGTATGATTTTGGTTCATAAGGTAAAGTTCATATACTATTCACGCAGTTAATCATGATTTGTGGTCCATCTTTCTTTTCGATAAAACTTATTTAAAAGGATTTTTCTTACACTCGTTTTCAATCATATGCTCTAAAAAATTATTTTCACATATCTTTTTCTACTTTTTAATCACACATTTTCCACAAATATTAGTTTTCAAAACAAAGTTTTGTCAAACAAGAGCTAAAGGAAATTTTTTACTTAAAACTCCGAAAAGAGAAAAGGAAAAGAAAAGTATTCTATTTTATTTTTTTGATGCAAGTTGGGATTGGTTGTTTTTTTTTTTTTGCCGGGGGGGGGGGGGGGGGGGGTTCC